CAGACACGTCGCTCCTTTCTCTCCCTTCACGAACTACGTTAGCGTCCAATGTTGTCCTTTAGATCAGGTAGGTCCTCCTGCGAGTGTCGCGCTAGCAATGCCTTGTCTCAACGTAGAACTATCGATACACACCTGTGGCACTATCGATTCCCTTTCGAAAAAACCAAAAACAATATTCTAGCAGTAAAAATAAACTGAATAATAGACATTACCGTATTTCACGTCCATTTCGCTCCTCAGTAATTCTATAAGCATATATATTGTGAGTTGCACGGCTAATTTTCGAATTTTCATACAAACGATCGAGCACTAGTTTTACCTGAAATAAACCTGTACAGTTATCACCTAAACACATTTCTGGAAAAAATCCGCATACTTCTTCTTTACTGCTAACTCTAGCGAGATGAGCTTGGAAATGACTTTTTCGATCCGTGAACACTTCCCCGTGGTAGATTGTGGGTACGTCATCGATAGAAGGCGCAACAGCTTCCACGAAGCATTCTGGGACATTGACAGGTCTACTGTCCACAATGTCTTGGCCTTTCCTTGCCTGAAAAACTATTTTCTAATTTTTCTATGTTTTAAGAATCTGTAAGAAAAAACACTGGGCGATAATTATCCGGGGAGAAGTATGGACAAAACATCGCAATGAGCAGCGCTGGCAGGCATAGTGAGCCGGACGAGTTGTCTTGCTTGGCCATTTCAATTTGAGAGTTAAAAGTAGGGGGAAATTCGATATCGATCGCCACGGAGTCTTGTCTCCGCTTGGATTCACACTAGTTTCGCTGACGTAGTACGCCTCTTCCGCAGCATGTTACGTTTGCCTTGCCCGTTTCCCTATGGGGAGAAAGGCCCAAAGGAAGTAGTACGGTGCGGCGACGAAGCCCACTTCGTCGCCGCGCCTATCCTACCAAAATGAGTAGATCCCTCCTCAGGAAGAATGATTCATAGCAGATAAGACGACCAAAACGGGCGCGGCCTAGTCTTCCCGTTCGCAAACTACCTTATCGTCCATCCGACAGAGTTAATAACTTTATTTATTAGTGGTGACTGAAAAAAACGCTAAATTTTCACATCTGCTCACCTCAAGGAATTCTTTTATGACTGAAATCCAAGCGTAGATGGTAGGAGATCCCAGATTGTCTAGACAGGTGGCATTCAGGGCCATCTCTAATTGCCAAAACGGCCTACACTCCTTGACAAAGAGGACCGCCTCAGTTCGTACAATGGTGGCCTCTCGCCCAAAACAGAAAGCTCAGAAAATAAGTCGGGCCCTCTCCTGACCTCCACCTGAAAGCCGCGCCAGGTCACTGGATTGGAAAAGAGGGCCAACACGCGACTAGCTGGCTCGTCATGCATCCAACACATCCTCCATCGACAGCCTTAGATAGCGTCAACCCACCAGAGCAAGATCGCGTTCATCGCGATGCGATCTCTTGGATCGCGACGTATGAACCTAAGCTCTTTCTAGCCGGGCCGCATTCCCCCCCCCACCTCTTCCAGTTACTAAGCATGTACTCGGATCCCATCATTGATAGCTTCACCAACTCCTTAGATTGTTGCTACACCATTTTACTGCTACAACGCTTTTCCTCCGTTTTGCTGATTCTGAGAAGACCTCAAGAAAGTGAGAAAAATAAAAAGACGAAAAAGCGAGGCTGAAGCTGCAAGCAGGTAGTAGACAGAATGATCAGCTGTGTCGAGTTCTGCACCATCTGAGGGGATACTGTGCATTCCAGTATTCATGAAGAGTCACCCAGCGCATGGCAATGGGACCAAACGACGTCGCGCACATCTTGGCGTGCGGCGTCCGCGACTCGTTACTAGGAACGTTCACTAACAAGGGAAGCATGGTAGGTCGAAGTGACCCTTAATAATGGAAATGCTATACCGTGAAGGGTCTTCGGAAGGAGATAGAACCATTCCGTATCGGCAGTGTACCTTGCCCATAAAGAGTTACGAAGCTTTCGGGGAGCAGAATATACGCACAGTACGTATTGGCGGCCCGCAGTTCTAATGTGGTATGTGGAAGCGATGGCCGAGTGGGATACGTCGATGGCCCAACGAATCATGCGTCGAGCCTTTCGCATTCTGGCGTGTGCCTCCGCATTTTCGAACAGTGGCCCTGGTGCCAATTCAAGCTGTTTCCCATAAGTCTTGTGCCTAATAATGTCGTGACGTAATGTTTCTGAACTGATGGAGCCATAGCAAACAATTTTATGGAGATCACTTCTGGCTGAAGAAATTGCGATACGAGCCGAAAACTTCCAGCAGGTGCGAAACCACTTTGGGATAGATATCATTCAAAACTAGGCTGCGATGATAATTGAAGTTTTGCCCCAGTGCCGATCTCTCGCATGACTGCTACGTCAACGCACATTCGACATATGCGAAGCCATTTCCCACATTATACTCATCTCGCAAAAACAACTTCAGCGCAGCTTCCGATTCGGTTCCCAGTCATGTCTTTTGGAAAATAAAGTCATTTTTCTGGGCAAAATCATTCGTTGGAAGGCACTTGTTGTGTATGCTTTCAAAACAAAGGAGAGGTCAAACAGCCAGGAAAATGTTCATGCTGGAATCCATTCCGCAAATAGGCTCCAGTCAGACAAACATTACGTCACGACATTATCAGGCACAAGAGTCATGCAAAATCGCTTTGAAGTGCACAGGGACCACTTTCGAAAAAATGCAATAGAGAAATGCATCAAGGATCCAAACCCTCCATCACGCATTCGTGAGCCCTACGGCGTACCTGCCCGGCCACGATCGCATTGAGCCCTTACGCCGCCAAGTCGTAGCTGAGAATGCGAATATTCTCTCCCTAAAGACTCCGTAATTCCTTTCTGGGAGGTCCGAATCACATATGGAAGACGGTTTCGCCAACCCCCGTTCAAAGACCTTTCAGCCGGTATACATTATTTCAGTACTGCACACTTCAACCGACCACCTCCCTTAAGAGAGTGCGACTTGGGTAGAGACGCAGCTGGTGCGCGACGCCATAGTATGGGCTGAGGCCGCGTTCATAGCTTGCGACCATGAAGAAATGCAGAAATGCGGAAAATGCAGAAGTGCGGAAAGTGCAGAGGTGCGGAATCTGCAGAAAAGCAATAGATACGTATCGATTTTCCCACACTTTCGCATTTCGGCATTTCTTTCAAGTCTCGATAAGTAATCCAATTGCTTTTCTGCACATTCCGCACTGTCGGCATTTCTGCACATTCCGCACTGTCGGCATTTCTGCAGATTCCGCACTTCTTCACTTTCGGCATTTCTGCATTTCTTCAAATCGATACGTATGTAATGCTTTTCGTCATTTCTGCACTTTCCGCACTTCTGCAGTTTCGGCATTTCTGCATTTCTTCAAGTCGGTTTAGCGTATCTATTGCTTTTCTGCAGATTCCGCACGTCTGCACTTTCCGCACTTCTGCATTTTCCGCATTTCTGCATTTCTTCATGGTCGCAAGCTATGAACGCGGCCTAAGGAGTTGAAAGAGAAGTAGAAAGCGGACGAGCATGAGTCAACTGCCCCGCAAGCGCATCAGCAAATATGCGCGACATCGTGTGGTGACTCTCACACACTCGGCATAGCTTTTTCTCTTTTGTCGCTCTCGAAGAATAAGCTCCTTTAGTTGAAGAAGAGGATTTCCACAAAAAAAGGTTGACTCACTGTGATGGATAGTTTTCAGGTAGTTTCACCGACAGTCTCACATCATCGTCGAAACTGATTCGTATTTTGTTCTCGGATTCAAATGAAATCAGATCCCCAAATATAGACTCTAGGATTTCCAGCTCATCTCGCTGAGCTTCTAGATCTCCCATATAGGGAGTTGGCCTCTGAAAAGTCTAGGTGATTAAATAGAAATGGGCGAACATGTAGCAATTTTGTCAAACGGACATGTGGAAGATTACCTCGCATGGTTTCGAATATAGTAGAAAGGTTATGGGTGTGATTCGGGACATCCGAGAAGCCGCCATCAGCACGCCACGTCAGTTATTCGCTAAACTAGTTCGACTCACATGAATGTAAGAGCGTCTGCTACAAAAGTGGTAGAAGACTAGTAATACGAAGGATATGATACAGTATTGTCACTTGCCCGCTTCAACAACTGGTGTAGAACGAGTTTGACACCGCGCCAAGCCGAGGCCGCATTACACGACCCAACCGTCCGGCACGGCAACTACGCTATAACGTTAGCTAATCGCGTGTTTGGACTCCAGAAATTTCGTCTTCGAGCTCATTTTCAAATTGCCTAAGTCACCAAATCCACTAAAAACTTGTATATAGGGGTAATTCAACATCCTGATTACGAGTATGACACTCATTCTTGGCGCTGGCGCCAAGAGAGGACACTACGATTACCTCCTGGGCTCATTAGCAGAGCGCAGGTAACCCGTAGCTCGTCATCCGATTACCACCAGCCGCCAAAAATCGAAAGGCACATTCCGCTGATCAGGGATGTTGAATTACCCTATATACAAGTTTTTAGCGGATTTGGTGATCTTGCCACTTTTAAAATGAGCTCGAAGACGAAATTTCTGGAGTCCAAACGGCATTAGCCGAGTACGTTGTGGCATCCTACGTCATATATTTATTTCACGGCCTCATCTAAAAACATGACAGTCCGTAGACCGCTTTCTTGCTGTTCATTTCCTGCGAGGCGCGGTCAGATCATTTCCCTTTATCAACGGTTTTAATTATAGAATGAATTTATTCATCTAGTGACTCTCGAGGGTGTAAGGGGATGTTGGATTCCTATTTAGACTATGCCGTCAAGCAGACAATGTGATTTGTGGGCCACCATAACACATTTTATTTTACGCCAATGTAACGTGTCGAGTCAACTATCTAGTAACACAGATCAGAGGGAGATGCCACAAATCGGATGCCCTCGAACATCCATGAGCCTCCAAAGCACAATATTAACTGTGCTCGCGCGATTGTTTTGAAAAGTGTTTATATTTGTTGAATTAATAGTGTTATTGGCCTATGGTATTTTATTTTCATTTTAATTGCTTTGGATTTTTAATGATGAGGTTATTTGTTAGATTTATTAATGTTAACGTTAGATTTGTTCTAGGTGATATTACTGAAACAATGTTTTTTTTAATTTCATGTTTTTTTTCGGAATAAAATTCTAGCGCCGATCAAACTGCATGGAAAACTGTAGCAGTTTCCGTAGCACCAGTAACTCTCAGCGGTTTCAAAAGTTAATTTCGTTGGCTGATAATGAGATGGTAAAGTGATCGGTTTGATCTACAAGACAAACGACAATTTTGACCGTCCGTCACCCTTCCCTTGTCAAACCGACCTTTTGGTACGCCTAATTTTTGTAGGAATAGAGGTTCTTCAACGTTCTTGCCATACTTCTAACTGCCCCTTAAATCCTTTAAGGGACTGACGCGTAACAGATTCACTGCGTATAGG